AACGTTAAATTTTTTATTCAAAGTTTATGTGGGTCAACACGAATTAGAACAAGAACACGATACGAAAATAAACAGGTCAACTCAACACGACTCGATTGCCACCCCTAAGTTCAATGGGTCGTTCGCTCTACCGCTAGGGAAGATCACTCTACCAATTACCATTGGGCCTGTCACAATTAACTCGGAGTTCGTGATGATCAACTCTGACTCACCGTACAACATATTAATGGGGTGAATTTAGTTGCACTCACTTGGAGCAGTGCACTCCACCAACCATCAGAAGTTGAAATTCCCCACTCCAAAAGGGATAATGGAGATTTGTGGAGACCAACTTCAGTGAAGAGTTGTTTCTATGCAATCGTGAAAGCTGGGGTCGTCTCCAAGGAGGAGCGCTCCCTAGAGGAAATATTAAACAAATAACAATTACTGTCTAGGCGACTGGGCGTCGATGAGCTGCGAATTGACCCAGTCGATCGCTCTATGGAGGACCTTCAAAAGGTGTTGCTGATAGAGGGGGACGAGGAAAGATAGTTTTTGATCGGCTCCACTATATCCTCAGCCGAGCAAGAGGAGATGGCTAACTTCTTAAGGAAGAACGTGGATGTGTTTGCATGGGACACCGTGATGATAAAAGGCATAAGTCTCGATGTTATAACTCACAGGCTTCATGTGGATCCCAGTCATAAGCCCATAAAGCAAAAATCTCGGCATTGATCCCAGTTATAAGCCCATGAAGCAACAATCTTGGCATACGACGCCGCATCACACCGAGGCGGTGAACAAAGAAGTGGAGAGGCTCCTAGAAGGCGACATTACCCGAGAGATACAATTTCTAGAATGGTTGTCAAACACCTTCTGCGCAAAGAAGAAGAGTGTCCTTAGGGTCCTCCTGACCCTATCTGTCCCAAAAAGGGGAGGAGATGTTGCTCCTGTACTTGGCCATTTTCGAGTTTGCCGTTAACGCTGTATTGGTCCACGAGCATGAGCATGAATAGAAGACAGTGTATTATGTGAGCAAAGCTCTATTAGATGCAAAGACAAGGTACTTGCCCTTGGAAAAGCTTGCATTAGCGCTAATCACGATCGCAAGAAAGTTGAGGCATTACTTTCAAGTGCATCCCATCACCGTCCTAACAGATCAACCTTTGAAAGTGATTCTAAGGCAGGCGAACCTCTCTGTGAGAATAGCAAAATGGGCAGTGAAGTTGGGGGAATATGATATTCACTACAAGCCTCGCACGGTAATAAAGGGTCAAGTGTTAGCGGACTTCATAGCTGAATTTACTAGGAATAGCCACCTCCCCCCGAGGTGGAGCCCTCCGCAGTCAACCAAGTGCACTCCTGGCAACTCTACTTGGACGGATCCTCCAATAGCAAGGATTCCAAAATCGAAGTGTTATTAGTCTCCCCGGAGGAATTGGTCACAGAACAAACCGTATGGCTGGACTTCAAGGCATCCAACAATGAGGCAGAATATGAAGCCTTTATCTCTGGACTCAAACTTGCCGATGCAGCGGGGGTCGCTAAGCTAACGTTCTATTGTGATTCCTTACTGGTTGTCAACAAGATCAACAGAGAGCTTGAAGCAAGGGATCCAAGAATGAAAATCTATCACTACAAGGCCATGACCCGAAGGTGGAGGTCAAGCAAGTCCCGCGAGATAAGAATACCCATGCAGACACCTTGGCATGTCTGGCCTCGACATTAGACTCCGACATCACAAAATATTATTGTGAAGTTCCTTCCTAACTCTAGCATAAATGACGTCCTCGGAGTGGCAACCATCTTGGAGGGGGGAGAAGTCCCTTAGTTGGATCCTCGGATCAAAAGTTGTACTAAAAATAGTTCTCCGGACCCTATTTGCTTTGTGTCTACGAAAATAAAGTTAAGCCCCTCCTGTATGAAGTGCACGAAGGCATATGTGGGGGACCCTCGGGTGGATGATCAATAGTCCATTGCATCATGTCACAGGGATATTGGTGGTCCCAGATACAAAGGGATACACAAACTTACGTCCAAAAATGTGATCAATGTCAAAGGCTCACTCCCACCATCAGACAGACAGTCAGCCGGAGACTTGCACACACTAACCAGTCCTTTGCCGTTTGCCCAATGGAGACTCGACCTAGTTGGACCCCTTCCAAGGGCTCCTGGAGACAAGAAATTCCTAATAGTTGGGACTTATTATTTTACAAAGTGGGTCAAGGCAGAGCCATTGACTCATATTAGGGATGCAGACACCAAAAGGTTCGTATGAAGGAACATAGTGACAAGGTTTGGGGTCTCGCATACACTTGTGTTGGATAACAGGACCCAGTTTAACAACTGACCCTTCAAATCTTTTTGTGAGCATCTTAGAATCTGGAATTACTACTCCATGCCCTCGTACCCGCAAGCCAATGGACAATCGAAGCTTTAAACAAGACTATCGTCAGCGGAATCAAGAAGAAGTTGGAAAAGGCTAAGGAAAAATGGATGGATGAGCTCCTAAACGTCCTTTGGGCTAACAAAACAACCCCACGGACCTCAATAGGTGAAACACCTTATGCCCTTACATACGGAGTAGAGGCGGTAATCTCATTGGAGATAGGCCTCCCTATTATAAGGACGCAAGCTTTTGACACTGGAGACAACGATCACCAACTCAACTTAGACTTGAACCACGCGGAGGAGAAAAGAGAAATTGCTGCCTTGAGACTAGCTAAGTATCAAGAAAGGGTATCCAAACTCTACAATAAAAGAGTAAAGCCCCAAAGATTCCAAATGAAGAGTAGTCAGGAACACCCATGACCTGACCAAGGAAAAAATGGATCCTAATTGGAAAGGACCATACAAAATCATGTCAGTGAGAGGCTTCGGGTACAAGTTAGAAAATATGGTAGGAAATGCGGTACTTCAGCCTTGAAATGTAATAAATTTAAAAAATATTATTTTTTAGAACAAAGACTTATTTTTGCTAAGTGTGCGATTCGGGAAGGAATATGGTCCCAGAGGCAAAGTCTTAGGACCCTTCCCTCCAAAGAAATAAAGGATGGCCTCACTAACGGCATAGGCGGCGTGGAGTGAGGCAACAATAGAGTCAGTCACCTGGATCGGCCGGTTGTCGCGATCTTGGGCTCTACCGTGCCACTCCGGGGCATTAGGTGTCGACTTTGGTGTAGGCGTCGTTGTCGGCATGGGAGTTGGAGTCTGAGTCGATGTCGGTGTCGGAGTGCCTTTGCTCCGGCCAACGCCGTTGTGTCTTTGCTTTACTATCCTTTCCTCTTTGTTGAGATCCCTACCGTGCCTTTGGCTGCACCCAATTGGTGTCAGCACAACAGGGACATCAGATGGAGGAGGAGTGGGAAAGGGAGTGCACCTTTGGATAGGAAACCCGAAAGGGCGTGTACACCCTAGATTGGGAGTAGCATTGGAGCCTGATCCTTGGCCCCTTCTAGCGACGAAAGCGGCTCTCTCCTTGATCAAGCTAAGAGAAAGGCAAGGTGGGTTGGACATCGCTATCTCCAAAGCGTCTTCTTCGTCGAGGCTTTGAAGAATGTTGAAGTCAGGACAAGCCTCCCCGCTCGAAGTACTTTCCTTGGCGTGGATGGTGAAGGACGGATCCCTTATCTCTTTAACCTCGGCGTCTATGTCTTCGACAGACTCTACCTCGACTTTAGTAGCTCTGTTGGGGTCCACCTCCAAATTTTCCCCGGATAACGCCAACCACCTTGCTGGATCCAATGGTTAAGGAGTTTGGGAAAAGTTCATGTACCCTGGGGTATAGTCTAGCAGCACGTGAGTAGCTCGGCCAAACCCGGTGACTATGTATCCCTGGTGATGATGTCGGCGACGTTGCCAAGGTTCCGAGGGGGTGGAACAAACTAGGCGTCAAAAACTTCTGCAAAGAAAAACAAATTAATAATTAGACGATAGGCAACGACCCGCTGAGATGATGAAAGGCGAGAAGAGAGAGAAACTGACGTACTCGTTCGCCACTGCTTATGGCACCACAAACCGTCGTAGTCGGGGTCGACTCCTCTCTCCTATTGACCGCTGAAGACTAGCAAGTCATCCTTGTACCCCTTATCCGAGTCGGGGAGGTGTGTCATGAGATACATAAAGGGGTCTCGAGCCTTGAGATAGAACTTCTGCTGAAGCATCACCCTCAACAAAGTGTAGCAAAAAAGAATGTCATCCAAGCTGAGGTTGACTTGAAGACGCTCGTTTAGGGCCACTACTCCCATGACAATCCTGAAGGTGTTTAGGCAACACTACCCCGAGAAATGGCAAAATCGACACAAGAAACGAAAGAGGATAAGGTGGAAAGGGAATCAGATACCACCCTCCATGATGGCCTTCGTGTAAAAAGGCATAGCCGCCTCGATGCCAGTGTCAGTGTTGTGGAGTCCAGGAATGAACTCATTCACAGCAACCCTAGCAAGGATGGAGTAGTGAGTCTTAAAGTTAGTGATCTGCTAGTAGCCTTTGACTGTATACTTTCTCGGCCTCGAGGAACTAGCCTCTTCGGCCTTAGCGTTAGCACGTCGACAATGTCTCGGCATGGTTTTAACAAAAACAGGATTCAAAAGGGAGGCTTCCCAAGGATGGGGGCCTAAAAGTCGCTATTAAGGGTGCAAGGAATGAAAAAAGAAGGAGAATGAGGCCAGGTGGTCAAAAGCGGTGTTGCTAGGACAGAAAGGAGGAAGAACAGAGGGAAAATGGCCACAAAAGGAAAAGATAGAAAGAAAAAAAGGACAAAAACTCACCAATGAGCACAACTCTGCTGCAGAGGAGAGGTTGGTGGCTTTCTTCTACGGTGGATGTTGAGGATTTGATAGCTTTCAAGGTGAACTATAGATTTTCCAACTAGATTCCGACGAAGGTCTCTTATCTCACTAAGTTGGCAAAAGTAGAGAAAAGGGGTCGGGGCTCTGTTTAAATAAGGCCCAACACCATGATTACACACGAGGAACGAGAAGGGGCACAATAAATGGGACACGATCCCCAAGGAAAGGAAAACGGCTACGTAAGGAGGCAGGAGTCAAGCCCTTTCATCTTCTCACGCCACGTCACCCACGCAGTACAAAGATCAATTGATAGGACACTTCTGAGAGTCAACAGCGAGTCGACACATGTCCTCGGCATAAGTAACCCTCGGATCTTACTGAGAACGACACATATCCTCAGCACGAAAAACGTGGGAGCCCCATGGATTAACACGTGTCCTAGGCGTGAGGTCCCTCGGAGCCCCTGCAAGCAACACGTGTCTTTGGCACCAAAGGCATCTTGGGAGCCCCTACGAGTGACAAGTGTCCTCAGCGTCAATGCACCCAGAGTTAAAGTCTTCATCACGTAACACCTGTCCTCGGCTCCCAAAGTTCCCCGAGGACACCTCCACTCGACACGTGTCCTCGGCGTCAGGTCCTCCACTCCGCAGAGGTGTTGGCGACCACCTTGGGACTTAGGCTATGACAAATGGTTGAGTTCTTAGAGAAGTCAAAAATAACATCATTACATCAGAGGTAGAGGTGGTTGTTAATCATCAAACTCTCTTCCCAAGGCAGTTAGAATGACAAGGTAGGCAACTTGGTAACCAATAAAGGTGTTCACCCTATCCTACTAGTAGGAAATGTGCTCTTCCGTCTTCCTACTCGATACTTTGCGGAAAAAAAATTTTTTGACCTACCCTACCCGACAGGTGTGGTATTCCTACTCGACTTCCTATCCGATTAATCGAGTAGGAAGTCGGATAGGAAATTGGGTAAACATTTTTGTAACAATTAATTTTTGGATCATTGTAATAATTTAATTAAATAACATGCACCAATTTAATAACACAATAAATCAATTAACACTAAAATCAAAAACAACTACAACAAGAATTATAATAAAACACAAGAAAATATGAACATCAATCCACCATAATTGTTACACAAATACAATAACAATTAATTTAAGTTTAAACTTTAAACCATAGAAAATACATTAAAATCATAATTGCTCCGCATGTGGTTAGGGTTTAGAGTTTTTTTAGTTTATATATATTAAAAAATTATTACGGGTAGCGTAAGGTAGGAATGCGGAAATGGATGGCTATTCTGCATTCCTATCCAAAAATTGTAGGAAGACCAAAAACTCTTCCGCATTTCTACCTAATTTTTGCGGTTAGCTGTTCAGTAGGGTAGGGTAGGCTCGGGTTGGGTAGGGTAGGAACTTACGACCGGTCGAAAATTTGAACACCCCTAGTAACCAATAGAGAGAGTCCACAAAATACGAAACTCATATGACATGACCTAGAGGGACAAAGGACGCAAATGCCCCAGCGCATGCGGAACCACAATGAAGGACATTAAATGATCCCTCATAAGGATGAGACATATTTATTACTCGAAGAGTCTCGAAGAAAAAGAGTATTAAGTGCTCAAGAATCCGAGCATTCAATGCATAAACTTCTTCTACGCAAAATAGGAGACACTCTGCTCAAAGACTGAGCCCCACCTTCTGCCTTCCAAATGGGTCAATTAGGGACTGCCTCCCCAAGGGACCCACCTATCAGTAATGATTACCTCCATGGAGTCATAAATAACTCTCATAAACACAAAACGAGGGTACACACATTCCCACTCAAGCAATAGAACAGTGTTTCTTACCCCTCTCTCCCATACTGACTTGATCGTCGGAGGGGGTCACACCGAAAAACACTCTGACTTGATCGCTAGAGTGTTTCTTACCCCTCTCTCCCATTCTAAAAAATAGCAGGGAGTACTTATAATACTCAAAAGTTAGTATAATAAAGCAAAGATAAAATTACACTTCAATCCCCCTCAATTATGCCAACAGTCACACATTACCTCCTCAATTATATATCATGTTTCGCACAATGCATCTCCCCATAGGATTATTTTTTCACATTGGTCCAAATTGCAATAATCCCTTGTAAATTTAATGGAAAGTTGTGTTATTTTGCCCCTAAACTATGTGATTTTGTCTCAAAATCGAATGAAAAATGTTATGCTTCATCCAAACATAACGGATATTTGGTTTTAGAATAATATAAAATTAATTCAAATAATTGAAAGGATAATGTAAGAAATTTTATGGTAAAGGGATGAAATAAAATCAAAATCTTTAAATACTTTTAGTCCCTAAAGTATGCATATTTTATCAGTTTAGTCTTGTATCAATTTTGTCAATTTGATTCCTAAAATATTCAATTCGATTAATTGTTGGGGTTACACAAACTTTCAAATCATTGAACTAATTACCCAAATAATTTATTTCCTACTCTTCCATCTCTAAAATTCACAGCCTAAAAACCCTGAATCGCCCAATTTTGGATTCAATCTCAAGTAATTTCCAAAATTTCCTAACTTATTTGATCAATTTCAAACCCTTTTCTACAATTCCAACTTTTAAATTTCACACTCTAAAAACCCTGAAGTCAATTTCACATAATCAAAATAAATAACAAGATTAAGAATGCAAATGTACTTGGCAACACCAGACTTCGTGTGAGAGAAGGTATCGGGTGTGGCGATCTTCTTCTTCGCACGGTGGACTTCGATGTGTTGTTCGTGACCAGATAGGGGTTCTTTGGAGAGACGCTTGGATTCTTCCCAGGATTGGTAGAGTTGGGCCTTGAGTTCAAGAATGGAGGACGAACCTACGCCAGAGATTGCCCCGTGCTTTCTCGGCATGATCAACGATTCTGTTAGCCCTCCTAGTGACTCCTCCACCACCCTCCTCTTCTTCCCTTGTCCCTCTTCCCCCATAGCTTCTCTCTAAATTCCTCTCGCTATCTATATATATAAACGTATGAATATGCAACACAGGTGTTCTTTTTCTTCTGCTGGTCTCGGTCTCCAAGAGTCCAAGAGGGCTGATTGGTGCTCTACTCCATTTTCTCCTCTCGAATCTAAGTGGTCGTTTGGTAACGTTTTTGTTTTTGCATTTTCAAAAAAATTAAAAACAGAGACAATTTTTGTTTTGTTTTGTGGTAAACACCGAAAACATAAAATATGTTTGGGAGTCATTTGTATTTTTCAAATTATGAGAATAAAACTAAAAACATGTTTGGTAACCACATCAAATTATATCCTAAAACAAAAGTTCTAATCAACATTTATGTCATTCCATAACATGTAACCATTCACTAATGCAGCAGTTCTATATACACTCAACAATTGGGAGTAACATATACACTCATGAAATTCTCTAAACATATATTACACTCATGAATTTCAACATATGCACGTATGAATTTCAACTTATCCACAATATATTCAACATATCCACAAATTCACCCACAATATACCAACACACACACATACTCTGCTGACTTAACACACACACAGACTTTGCTGACTTAACACACACACACTCAGCACATACACGGAACACACACAGAGACGGGGACATAAGAGAATTTGTTTAGGGGAAATCGAGTCACGATCAACACCCACATCCAGAAATCACGCCGCCCAAACCCAGAAATCAACACCCACACAGATCTAACTCAAACCTGAAAGTGAGGCGGCGACGAAGAGGGGCAGCGATGAAATCGAGTGACAAAGCTGTGAGGAGGACGATCGAACAAAGCTGTGAGTGACGATAGCCGGAGAGTAGACGATGGAGAGTGAGAGGATGGGATTAAATATGAGATAGATCGAATTTGGTTTGTGTATCTTTTATACTTCCTAGTAATGCACACACGTAAAAAAATTTAGATCATTAATTTTTTATTAAATTTATTACAAATACAAAGTTAATTTTAAAAGTAAGTTAAAAATTAAAATACCAAGAAAAAGGCACTTAACCTTTTAATTTTTTAATTGTATTTGTTAATTAGTTAACTTCCAATTAAATAATCGTATATGTAGTTTTTTAATCAATTTATTTTACATTATTATAATTCTTCAGACACAATAAAATTTTTATATTGTATTAAGATTTTATGTGTATTAAATCGTATCTCAATTGATCGAACTAATTTTTAATTATAATTAAGTTCTAATATGATTAGTATATTGATAATTATTTTTATTTTATTCGAAGAATTATAAGTGAAATCCTAATTTAATAAATTTCATAAAATTTAATTTTTCAAACATTAGTAAAAAAATCATTCGCAATCATGAAATTCTAAAAGAATAAAACTTTAACCTTTTTTAAAAAAAAAAAACTTTTTCTTTATAGTTAAAATAAGGAATTTTGGGAGCATACAAAGTTTTCGTAATCCTATAATAGAACGTGAGTAATGAAAAATTAATTTTGATAAATTTAAAATGATATTTCAATTAGTTACGTATATGCTTAATATATTTTATTAATTTATGTATACAAAAATTATCCACAAGTATTATTATTACGTTAAATTTGAATAAAAATGAGATTAAAATTGCATCTTTTAATACTTTTTGATCCATCATGCAGCTATACTTTCCTACATCTTTTAATCTTTTAAAATTGCATCTTTTATTAATATTCTTTAATATCTCAATTTATAAAAATATAACAACAATCAAGATTGATTTATTTTATATCTATTTTAATACAATGATACAAAATTAATTCCATATTCCCCCCCCCCCAAAAAAGCCATCATCTCTGTATGGCTCTCGATATTAGACAACGTCACTGACCCTACCTATGGCTTCCTTTTTTTTTTTTTGTTCTATACCTCTTTCTTATTTTTCATTTGATCTCTATACTTTTAAAATATGTAATTTTAAAAAAATAAAATAAATTATTAGTTAAAATAAAAATATTTCACCCTTAATACCCAATTTTTAATATTACAACCAACATAGAAAATTTTAGCATAAACATAGAAATTAATAAACTAACATCAATAATGCTGGATATTTGACATGTCACACCAATCTAATAAACTGCAACATAAGAATTAATAAAATAATTTCAATTATGCCGAATACTCGACGTAGCACACCAATCTCATAGAAAATTGTTTGACATTAAATTAAAAAAATTAACTGTCACATAAAATTTAAAAGTAAACATAGGAATTAATAAATTAACCTCAATTATGTCGAATACTCGACCTACCACACTAATCTCTTAAAAAACTATTTCACACTAAATTAAGGAAAATTAAGTGCCACACGAATGTCAATATTCATTAAAGCTTAAAGATAGATACAAAGGGAGAGGGTGAGAGTTAAACTTTCAATATCATTTATCGAAAGAAAGAGAGGGGGGGGGGGGGGGGGAGGAAAGGGAGTGATGACTAATATAACAGTAAAAAAAAACAGTTTTCAATTAGTTGATTAGTTTTGTAATTCTTTTATTAGTAGAATTCTAGAATTCTTTTAGTGGCAGTAGCTTAGTCAAAATAGCACTCAATGTTAAAACTGATTTTCTATTACAAGTAGGATTGTTATATACTTTATTTTGATGGTCTCGTCTAGCGGCTACATGCATTCTGTCATGTGTAATTGACTTTATCAAAGACATAAAAATATCTGAATATAATTGACTTTATAATAATAATTAAGAGTAAAATGAGAAATCAAAATTTTTTTGGAAGTCAAATAGGTATGAAAGACAGAAAAATATCTGAGTATAATTGACTTTATAGTAATAAATAAGGTTAAAATAGAAAATCAAAATTTTTGATAGATGCTGACATTTATAAATAGTATAGATATAGAGAATAGGAATAGACGTTCTATTAGAAAATATATAAAACCTGAATTTCGTATGTTAACAACAGCTCCTAACTAATTACACAAAATACCCCAAAATATTAGAACAATAACGTTTTGTTTTATGTCCAGAAGACTAATAAAGTAAAAACCGCACACCAATTCCAAAAGGGTCAATCCTTTTAATGAGTGAATGAGAATTTATCAACCAATGAAACACTTCTCATTGCAACCATGACTAATTCTCTAGCTAGAAAATTAGCAAAACAATTCCATGTGGTTTCATCACTTACATCACAAGACCTTGCACTTAGAAAAGCATATTTTATGGCCAGAACTATCAATCTTGTTGGTGCCACTATTGAAAGATATTGTGCTGAACTAAAGCTCCAAAGAGGGCTCCCCCCCCCCCCCCAAAAAAAAAAAAAAAAAACACACACACACACAAATGCATGCACGGGGACTGGGGCAGCAAGGGATATCTGTAGTTGTAGTAGACATTACAACCTGTGTTGTTTCTTTCAATTTGTCTTCAGTTGCAGTCCTATGCTCGATATAATAAGGCAGCTCATCAAGGGACAGTGGTGAAATGCTGTGAGAATTTGATTCACTGTCAACCTAAAGTGCTACAGAGATTACCTGTAAAAATCCTATTTAGGGTATCTAATATAGAAGACTCATGATATTGCCTGTATGAGGAGGATAGTCGTATTCTGTATTATCACTCCATGCAGAAAAACCCTTTTCGACTATCAAATTATAGATACGAACTGGAACAAAAAAGAACCAGTTTCTAAGAAAATACAAGTTCCTCATTTCTAAAAGCCCCAAATCTTAAAAGTTCTGAAGACCAACATTCAACTTCATGAATCCATTTTATTGCTAAAAGCAAGCCAACAAAAGCAACCACAGATTGGGGAGTGCTGAAATTTTGAGAAAACTTTAATAAGATACAAAAGGCGTTATTCACTGAAACAATTGGAAAATAGATCAGTGGCGCTTCTTTCTTGTTACCACTTCCCAAGCTTGTAAAACGTGGTTTACTATTTCCTCAACGCGGACGCCATGCTTCACTTGCATCATGTACTTTCCATTTATCAATCACAGGGCAAAAGTTTGACATTCTATATAAAAAAAACTATTGGACCAGGCGGAATGAAACTGCCACTTGGTCAGCCGAATAACATATGTAGTAGTTGAAACCCACTGAGAGGGTTTTAGGTGAGCCATGTAATGGCCATCTCTCCAATGCAATTCAATAAATCAAGTAGGTACATTTACCATTATAGTTGTTATTTTTCCCTTCATTGTATTACGCATGCTTAATAGTTACACATACCTCAGAACTAGTGGAGCTACTTTGTCACCATACTAGTAAAATTTTAGGTGTACTATTTTGCTGCAGAATGATAGACTGCGCTTTTCTGTCGTTCACATAATAAATTTCATTAAACCAGTAATAGAAGCATCATTTGAAAATAGGTATCTATACCATGCACGTATCACACTAATGCTACAGAATATGGAGAAACGACATATTCCACTAATCTGAGCAAAAACAAAATGGACCATCATCCCGCATCCGAAGTGTATCACGCTCCCATGACTGCCAAATCAGCTCTAACAGCCAGTGTGCAATCTCAATAACATCAAACCTTTCCACAATTTCTTTGAGAAAACATCAATGGTTTAAATGGTGTTTAAAGCCCCAAACATCAGGTAGTAGATGAATAAGACACATACAAGGAGGTCGGTTTGTGTGATCCCTGGGCCTCCTTTTCGAGGGATCTTATCACCACCGGATACATCTATATTATAAATTATATAGTCAGCCAGTTCCCTGCTGAAGTTGGCAGCTAGATTGTCTGCATTCACATAAATTAAGCATATTAAAACATGTTTCAATCGACAACTAAATCCATTATATACGAAAATAAATAAAGTTCTGTCTCATCTAATGATTTCAAAGCTCAATTCTATCCATGAGTAGTTATAAATCACAAATAATTCCAGAATTGTTTCCACACAACTTTCAAATCAACAAGAAATGCAAATTTATTGCCACAACTTTTGATCACCAAGAGCTTTCAATTCCTTGTAATAACTTTTCACCTAATGCCCAACAGTCACATAAATCCAGGTGCACAGAGCTTGATTAAATGAAGCTTATATATTATTTTAAATTTCATGGTGCTCACTAACATAATAATATTTACAGCTAAGCAAAGTACACTGTGGTGTCAAATTACCTTCCCCAGATTCACAGAGAAGTATATAGTTTTGTAAAAGTTTGAAAGCTCCTCAAGAGGCCCAAGATTGAT